GGGTCGAGGGGCCAAGATGGAGGAGGTGAAGGTGGTGAGGATTCAGGCCGAGTGAATGGGCCCGATCTCCATGGCTTCTCGGCGCTGGCGATGGGTCACTCCCGGCTATGCGAGGAATCTGAAACTCGAACCTGCTGCTACTAATGGCGGAGAAGTCGGCGACTATGCTGCAAGAATTAATCTCGAGCGGATACTGCAAATCACAAAAAGGAAAAAGAAATTGCCGCTTCTGCTCATGGAAATCATCGACAGAGAAAGATCGATGGCTCTCGATTTGATGAGAGACCTAGATTATTCGGCGATTTAAGGTCTGAGGTTTTGGGCGATTTAAAGGGACAACGAAAACTCTCAGATTTGCAGCGTGAGGAAGAGAAAAAGAAAAAAAGAAAGAGATGAGGGAAAGAGATTAAAGAACGAAAAAAAGAAAGAGTTAAGGAGAGAGAGATTAACGAGAAGAGGGTGAGAGAGAGAAAGGGATAATTCCTACAATTATGCTAAAGGATAACTTCTATTATTTTACAAAAAAATCGTAATATTGAATGTAAGTTAAAGTGTTCGTACTTTTAATAATATGTAGTAGAGGATGAGTAAGGGGGTAATTTTCTCTTGTAATTTTTGTAAGCTAATGTCTTGGGCCATGTAAATGAATAGTTTGTTAGCTTAATTTTTTTGTTAATACTTAATACCTGGTGACATTATTTGGCTTTTTGCCTTATCGAGTCTTACTTGCAAAACTAAATAAAGCCTTCAAAGAGTTCTTAAAGAATGTTGCCATGCCCAAAGCCAAAACCATCAAAAAATTATTTCCCAAAAAAAAAAAGTAATATAAATAAATAATACATATTGATTATAAACATACACTTGGAATCAAACATAGTAGCTAAAATAATTAGAAGATGCATAATTATTTATTTATTTCTTTCTTTATTTTTGTATAAAATATCATTATATACTAAAAAATTAATGATAATAATATATAAAATTATATATTATACACAAAAAATAAATAAAATTATATATTAATTAAAACGGTTCGACCGGTTCGTCCATTGGTCCGACCAGTGAACCGTCAAACCGATAGCTTCACCGGTGAGTGTAATATATCATAAGTGTAATATCGTAAATATATATCATAAATTAAGGTAATGTATATAAGTGTAATATATATCATAAATTAAGGTAATGTGTGCAAATTCTTCATAATTTTATTCATAAAAATGGTATAATATCGCCAAACTAATAGGCTAGGCGATTAGAAATGGATTCTAACCCCTCTTAAGAAGGCAAAGAATCACATTCCCACCATATTCATCACAAAATCAAATCGTACATCCAATCACAAAACACCGCCATAAATTTAGCACGAAAAACAGGAAAGGATCAAAGCTTATCAGAGAATCTCGACGCAGCTTCCTCGTTCCTGCAGTGTGCCTAAAAGTGAGAATTTCTTGCGGCAGTTAATTTGCATCAATCAATTGCTGTATTTTTTTTTTTTTTTTTTTTTT